ATAAACAGTTTGTTTAGAGTTATTTTGGAGAAAGCAACTTTTATCTCACCCTGTAAATTGACAAGAAACATATCATCTAGAAAATTGAAAAGAATAATATTTACTTAAGTATTTGTCCTTCTTGATTATCCCAATTCACTGTACCAGGATGAGAAATTTTATATTCTAATAAATTATTTATTATCGTTCGAAGATCCTGTATAAGTATGGCGGTTCTCGGATCACATAAAAAACTTAGCGAAGTGTTTAACGTTATTACGAACCCCTGCCTTGTTCTTTCTAAAATAAATTCATTTATTAATAGAACATCAGTATAATAGAAAAAAAAGTATATTGCATGCAAAATAAAATTCTGTCATACGAATAAAACTATTAGATCCTGCAAATAGTAATATCGGAGCTGTGACGCAAGACGTATCGTGTAAATAAATAGCGGTAGATCGTTGCTTTGTAAAATATGTCAAAAAAGGACTTGGAAAATCCTTCATTTTATTATTGACGCTTGAGGGGTGTACTTTGACAGTACCATCTTCGGGTGTCCAAGCAATTACGCCACGCTTAAAATCACCTCTAAAAAATACAAATTAATATTTTATATAGTAAAAATAATTAATATCTATTAAAATTAAATAATTAATAATCTATTTGTAATTATAAATCTTTATAATAAGGAATACACGTACCCATGTTTGATGGTTGCTATATTTGGATATAATCCTACACAAACTATAGCTTTGATCAATGCTATATTATTAGAATTTCTATTAGCATTTTCGTCTATTGGATCATCGCTATTTAAAAATTTCATTCCACATAAGTGCTGAGCAAATTGACGTTTCATTTCGGAAAGAAGATTTAAAGTATTGTAGGACAAAAAATATTGATAACAAAAACCAAAGTTATGATTAATTTCGAATCTCCTAAGAGCTTCGGCTAGAGCAATGTGATCGCTGTATTGCCACATACTGAGTTCTAATTTTTTTTCCATTGCTTTCTCTTCTTTTCCCAAAGGACAATAAAAGGCATCTTTGAAAGTAAGACTCGCTGCTATAGAAAATACTGGATCTACGCAAGAAAACAGTGCTGCCCATATAATCATTTTACCTGTTAATGAAAAAACAAAACAACAATGAATATATTACACATAATTTAAAATAATTAATAATCGTTGAAGAAAAGGAAAGAAATTACCAGTCCTAGGATCAAGAGGAAGTTGTGCCAAATGATATCCAAGAGGTGTCAAATGTTCGTCGTTGTCTAAAGCATTTAATGTTCTCAATAATTCAAGTGATAAATCAATGGCTTTCAAATTAGGTGGATCCATAACGCTAGCAAGAAATTCCTTCGCTTCTCCTAATTGTAAAATTTTAATCTGCAATATAACTTGTTCTAATCGCGTGCGTAACATTTCGGGTAATTGGTAGTCCTCGAATGTTAGTTCTCTTGCTTTACTGTACAGATGATAACAATACCCTTTTTTAACTCTAAAACAAATACATAAAAACTTATTTCATTTTTAATACTAATCAACCATTGATCAACCTAGTTCTCGTTGAATAACTAAAGTTAGACTGGAACACTGTGTGCTTTTGACTCCAGAGAGACGGGTCAGAATCTTCATGGAAAGTGAATTGTGTCAGAAAATGTTATAAAAAATTCTTGAATTCGTAAAAGGAAAAGTAATAAAGATATTTTAAATATGTATTGAAAGAAAAAGTTATTTACCTTCCAGCACGGCCTCGTCGTTGTTTGGCATTAGCCTTCGAAACCCATTCGGGTTCTAACGTTTCCATATTTTCATTTACATCGAATCTGGAAAGCTTTGTTTTTCCACAATCGATTACATGTACCACATCTTCTATCGTTATGGATGTTTCAGCAATCGATGTGGCGATGATTATTTTACGTACGCCAAGTGGTGGTTCTTTGAATATAAGCCTCTGATCGATTGTTGGCATACGAGAGTGAAGTGGATAAATAATATATTTATCTATAATATTACAAAAAAAAAAAAAAAAATACAAATCAATATCATTCATCATATTTTATATCAAAATACTCATTTGACAATTTAAATTACTTACTAGTCGGATAATGTCCGGAATTCAATATAATTTTATTTAACTTAATGATATCCATCATACCGGGTAAAAATACTAGAATAGCCCCTGGTTCTTTAGTCGTACATATATGTCTAATCAATTCTTCTATAAGTTCTAAAGATAAATTTTCACAGTTTGGATTGCGTAATTGGTTTATGACACTCATAGGATATTTTTTCTAAAAGAAAAAATGTAATTGTACTAAACGTTTAAGTCCTAGGGTTCCTTGGAAAAAATCTTGTCAAAAAGACCCAACCAGGGCGACAGCACTTGTTTCAGTTTAAATCGAGCAAATCTAAGTAACATTATTGTGTTAATTTTTTATTAATGCATTGATTGACAAGCATTTTCAACAGAATCCTAGGGCACTGTCGGTTATCCATAACGGTCAAATGGAGAGGAGTTTTTTTGACATAAAATCTGATCTATGGACCATCAGCGATCGTGCTGCTTGGGACTTAAATGGTTGAACGACAATGCTTATATTCACTTTCCATATATATATATGTTATATACTACTTACTTCTATTACAAGATTTACTACATAGGAATTTATCATCTCTAGATAATTACAATGTTTGTCGTGCTGTTCCTTATATTTCTTTTGATGTCTTTTATAACTAAGTTCTTTTACTGTAAATTGACTCTCAGGGAAACGAAATCTGTAAAAAAATACAAGAAAAAATAAATATATAAATAATAGTTTATTCATTATTCAAATAAATAATACTCACTCTGTAAATAATAATACATCTTCTAAATAAAATTCTTCTACGGGATAAGTGAACCCTGGTATATGAATTATCGGACAATTACTGTAATAATCGGAAAATCTTTTGGAATTAAGTGTTGCACTCATCAAAATCACCTTTAAATCTGGTCTCTGTATAAGTAACAATAAATCTAATTATTAATTATAATATACCTTAAAAAAATAAAAAAAATGAATAAATATAATTATGATATCGATAATACATACAACAGGAATTATTTGCCTTAATAAAGTAATAATAAAATCACTTTCTGTACTACGTTCGTGAACCTCGTCTAATATTATATGCGAAAATCCTTTTAATGCAGGATCGGATTGCATAAATTGCAAGAGCATACCGGTAGTACAAAATAATATACTTCCACGGTCTCTAGGTGGTATCCTTTAATAAAAGTCGATTATAAGCATTAATTTTAAAACGAACAACTCAAACATTTATTGATTTACAGTAAGCAATTGGTTAACAAACATAATCTGTTCAAAGATGATGTCTGCTAACCAAACTGTTTATTTAATAATATAAATAATATAACCAATCACTTGCAAACTATATATAATAATAAATCATTTCTACATACTTTTCGAGTCTTATTTGAAAGCCCACAGATTTGCCAAGTCTCTCCGCTCTCTCTGCAGCTACTCTTTCAGCGACAGATATCGCAGATATCCTTCTCGGTTCCGTACAAATAATTCTGGTAATGCTACCATTTTCATTTTCTAATTCGTTATCCAGAATAAATTGTCCAACTTGCGTTGTCTTACCACAACCTATAAGATAATAGTTTAAAATCAAAAACAATCCCTTTTAATACTAATGATTATGAGAACGTGAATGACTTACCAGTTTCTCCGCTAATTACAATAACTTGATTATTTTTAATTAAATCTAAGATCTCCGCTTTCTTATCATACGATGGTAGTTTTTTTCTAAAAGCTTGCATGGCTACATATTCGTTACTATTCTGTTTTTTGTTAAACTCTTCAAATAGAATTTTGTCAGAGGCAGGATCCCTTTCCAGTCTAGATTTAACAGACATTGCTTTGGCAATATTATTTTGTATATTACCGGACAGAAGTTCTAAGAACTTTTGTTTAAATCTAGAGTCATGAATGTGAGTATATTTGTTTTCTAAATCACTGTTGTTTGTAATATCCGGTTTAATGTCATTATTGCACACTTTATTGTACAGTCCTTTAGAATTTTCTACGGCTAATATCATTGTGTTCTCTACGCTTTCTTTAACTTTGATAAGATGTTCTTGCTTTTTCTTAACTTTATTTTTGTGTTGATCTCTATAATATAAACCAATTTCTTTTCCTCTCAACCATGAGGGATGCCCTTTGCTTCTTTCCCCTGATTCTCCATTATTTTTTGAAGTTGACATCGATGCATTTGATTGAATTTGTTCATCTATTAAATTAATATATTTATATAGACGTTAGTTAAATATTAACTAAGATTATAAGATTCACAAAGTAATAATAGTATATTATTTATACTAAATCAATTAACATTGTTTTCTTAAAACAAAAGAAAAAAGGAAAATTTGTGGTTTTAATACATATTCATTATTTTCTTTGTAAATAAGAAATTTACTTTCTCTTCCAAATCTTGACGTTCTTGGTGCCGACTTTGATCCACGATGATGAGACATTTCTTAGAATCATATATGTTAATTTCAAACAATACTCTATCAATATCGTACAAACTATTAAAATTTAAATTGTCAATGAATCGTTGATAGTATTACTAACCTTCTCTTGTTTAATCATAGACTAGTTCGTTTTACTAAAAAGATTTTCCACCCTTCCCAAAAAAATGAAATGACTCGAGGAACCATCTTCAGAGAAATATTAAAACTTATAGAAGCGGGAAAAATGATTCTTTTCAAATTGTTATAAAAAATATGAAAAATATACTGACTTTAATTTTTATGAAAGAAATAATAAATAAAAAATAATAATATAACATTGAACAAATGCTTTTTTGCGAATGAAAGTAGATAAATAAATGAAATAATAATAAATGGTATTTTTAATAATTGCTTAGTCGATAAGGTAAATTTCGAATGAAATTAAAGGACGAGTAGTCGTTCCAATTTATTTATAACTCGTGATAACTTTCATTTTTTTTCATTTTTAATACGTTCATTCTTCTAACTGCTGCTACCGATAATAAAATTAACTAAACGCGTGTGCTTTGAATAAAAGAGAGAGAGAAATAAAGAGAAAGTGAGAGAGAGATGGGTACTGCAGATACCGCACCAATTGTCAAAAAAGTATTATTAAATGAAAGTAATGAAATTAGCGAAGATTATGGACCGAATTTAAAATTATTACCCTGTAACAATCAAGTTAAAGAATTACAAACAATTTTACGGGACAAGTAAGTTTTAAATGATTACATTTAAATATATGAAATAATGACTTTGCTAAGCTCTAACAATTGTCGACGAAATCAACAAAATTTTTTAATATTAAATGCCTATTATAAGACTTAATTACCATTGATACAAATGAATGATACATCATTATTTTGGATTTATTAGAAATACCACGAGGAGTGATTTTAAATTCTATGCCGATCGTTTGGTAAGACACATATGTTTCCTTATTTTAACTTATAATTATGATGAAGAATAGATAATGTTATACAATTATTATTTACTTACTATCGATTCTTGGTTAGTCGATTTGCAAAAAAAATTCGAATAATTATTATTACTAAAATTTTTTTAACATACATACACATACATATATGCAAATATGTATATATAATATATAACTATAATAATGATAATTTTAGATTAGGCTCGTTATCGAAGAAAGTTTAAACCAATTGCCTTTTTCTAAACGCGTGGTTATAACGCCAACTGGATCAGAATACAGTGGTTTAAAATATCAAAAAGGTAATTGCGGTGTTTCTATCATAAGAAGCGGAGAAGCTATGGAACAAGTATGTATGAATAATAATTAATCAATGTTTTATAAGTGTATGTGAAAAAGTTATTTAACTATTTGTAGGGCTTAAGAGATTGTTGTCGTAGTATCAGAATCGGTAAGATACTTGTAGAAAGTGATGCAGATACGCACGAAGCTAGAGTCGTTTATGCCAAATTTCCAGATGACATAGCAGAAAGGAAAGTCTTACTAATGTACCCTATAATGGGTAAGCGTAACGGGTTTATTATAGCACATTATTTAATAGTTAACATGTTGATCACCATAATTATATTTTCATTAAGGCCAAGCGTAACTCCTAGGAGAAACAGACTCAATTTATACATGGCGATCAATGTGTTAATAGATTAGTAAGAAAAATGAATATTTTGATTATTACTATATTCGCGTATATTCAGGTACAGGAAATACTGTGATAAAGGCCATAGCTGTCTTAAAAGAACATAATGTATTAGAAGAAAATATCATCTTGTCAAATTTATTTTGTACACCAACGGCAGCTAAAACTCTAGTCACTGTCTTTCCCAAGGTAAGTCTATTAAACTAATTTGTATCAATTATTTAATATCTACTCTATGCGATTACAAATTCTTTTAGTCAACATGTTCGTTATCAGTATCACACAGATTTTCATTGAGAGCTCAGTGTTAAATATTTGTGGCAATAAACAACATGAAAAATAAGTTCTGGTAGCAAATGTGTTTATACTAACGCGCGTTGTGTTATTATAGATAATATTAAAGTACATGCTTGTGAATGATGTAGTCTACATCCAAATCTAGGAAACAAATAATAAGATATAATTTTATATTTTAGTTTTAAAAATTAAGTTAAAACTTTGTATTACAGATGAAGATCCTGACCTCAGAGATTCATTGTATTGCACCAAACCACTTTGGACAAAAATACTTTGGTACGGATTAATTATATTTCATATAGTCCAGAACATACTATATTATTAGGAATGATATAATGCTAAAGTAAAAGAAAATTTAGTTATCGAAGGTTACATGGTGCACAGACAAAAACTATATTATATATATATTATATATATATATATGTTGCGTTTCTATCTGATACAAGGAATACGATAATTATTGCTATAGCATAAGTTTATTCTCTCAGTCAGTTTTATTATACTGAGTACCTGATGAAATTATTATTACGATTACAAGCATACAGTGCTTAAATAATTCATTTTAAATTTAATGATTATTGCAATAGTACATTAATTCAATTCGAGTCATTTATTCTTTTTTTTGATGGTCAATTAAGTCAGTAATATAATCTTAGCATGTATAATTTATATTATATTATTTAATGATTACCAGTTGCATATGTCAACCTTCTACAACTTAATTTTTTTCCAATCTACCGTAGAATTAAGTAGTGCATCTTATTTTTCTTAGTACTTACATATAAAAAAGAAAACAAAACAACGTATGGTACTTTTGACAGGAGTGTTCGACTTAATATCCTCAAATTTGATCTATTCTTTTTTTAAGATACAGTATAATGTAAATAATGAACTTTTCTATATATTGAGGCAACTAGTATTTATATGATATAACTTTGTTTGAGGTAAACTTAAGCCCTTGTTACAGATATATCTCATTGAAAGTATATATTGCATTAGCATATACTTGTTCGAAATAGTAGCTACAAAAGCTTACTATTTCAACGAATGATCAATAAGTGGTTGTATAGTAATCATAGTCTTTATACATAATACAATTAATCCGATAAAGAAAAAACAAAAATTATCACCTTATAGGTTTAACGATACTATAATCTTATCTAATTATGATACACTATTTTGATATTTATGGATATATTTATCGAGAGAATTATGCTTTTTCTTTTGTTATTCCCTTTTTTAATCATATTGTTATTTTATGAAACAGAAAGATGCATAATATTTTTTTAAGCATACATTTGAGATCTATTTTTATTTAGAACATATATTTTTTATCTTTTGATTATGAAGATTGAAAATTTTGTCAACAAGCATAATATGAGCATAGAATTGCTATACTAATATCAACATTATTTTCAATTTTATTTAATATTAAATTTGAGGAATCAAAATATATTCCTCGACTGCAGCTTATCCATCATTATTTTAATTAATAATTAAGAAATTGTTTAAGTGCTTTTTTTTAAATCATAATTCTAAAAGATACAAATTCAATTTCTTTGTATAATTTCCTATCCATAGAACGATAAAGAAATATAAATCTTTTTGTATACACACACATTTCTGATAATTGGAGGTGCATCTGAAGAGACTTAGACAGTCACAGAGAGCACAATAATAATCATACATAATAAAAAATACAATTAATACGACTGCATAATTACTTAAGCACTCCTTTTACAAGTGCAAACACATTTATGAATTGCAATTCTTTATCATTATTATTAAAAACAATAGACGCAGAGTCATATTTGAAGTATTCATAAAAAGATCATAATTTTTCATATTTTACTGGATATATATATATATCCATATTTTGTAAATTAATAATTCACTGTCAGAATGTTCTGCTAATTACTTTGTAAATCTTTCAAAATGCGATATATTATTATTTCCTTTTTTCCCTTATTATCATAAATGAATTAATTGAAAATAAACACAAAGTTATATTATGAAATTTTGCTATGTAACTATTTACAAATATTTGCCTTATTATTTGATATTGCATTTTAATAGATACATTATCCTTTTTTGTGAAAATATTGCATACGTTTATATGTATATATATATATATACACTTATACTTTTATGTGAGTTTTAGTATAATACATATTATTATTATATAAATGAGAAAACAACAATGGCAACACACTCATAAGAATATATGTATGTTTGAATGTGTATGTTAAAAAAATATGTTCAACAAGTATTTGTTGAGAGTGATGTGCAATGAAACGTATATAAACGTATTTCAATTAGTTTGATTTATTTTTATGATCAAGATAATTATATATTTCATATATAATTAATATTTATTGGTAATCAAATGCTTCTTTGTACTACATTGAAATGCGTTTTAATTAAAAAAAATTAAACTTCTCCTGTTTTTTGCTATTCATACTTCGTTATTAATTCATTGAGTGAGAATGAATGAATAATTTTCACAGATAGTCAAATTTAAAAGTAATATGATGAAAAAATAAGTTTACGATATATTTTTACAAATAGAAAATGCCAAAAAAAATTCGAAAGGAAACTTATAGGACTTATTATTATTTATTGCTAAATATATACATACTTTTTTTTTTTCTTATATACTTATTTGAAAAATATTGTTGGCGAAAAATTTGCCTTATATGGTGCCTGTGAAAATTCTGTATCGGACAGACGATGAATAGCAATTACAGAACTAGAAAAAGAGAAATAATCATAACGATTAAATATAATCGAGTGTACATAGAGAGATGTCTGTCGTAAGGACCCATAAATTAAAAGAAATATTGCTATTTCAGTTCGACAGGAACATTTTTTGATACTTGCATACCTGGGTGTTGAAAAACAATGTTACCTAGCATTATAGATCGGTATATACAAATAAACATATACATAGTGGATATTTGTTAGTTAGTAATATTAATCTATAATAAATGAAAGCTTATAATAAACCAATTACCCTTTATTTATTTTATTTTTTTCTTTTAACATATATGTTACTATCTAAGAATCAAATGAAATACTAATGAAATAAATTAGACCTTTTACGTTCCTGGAATAGTATGAGTTTACCTTGCATTACTCTTGCATTACAAGGAAAAATGAAATTAAATAAAATCAAATTACTCGTATACAGAGTGTTCTCTAACTGGTGATATAAGCAAAGCAGTACATGGTACCAATGTACCCATACTTGACAAATGTTCAAACTTATTTTGCTCAAAAACAAAATCTTGTATGAACAAATTTTATTCAACACAATCGACTAAATTCTTAACGTAGAATCACCCTCTGCTCGCTTTATGCTCTCAGGACATTCTGTATATTTAGTAATTTAAAAAGAAAATAAATTTTTATACAAGAAGTAACATATATGTTCTCTTTTCGTATAGGAAGAAATAATGTTTTCAATTAAATAAATAGTATCTGATTATCTTAATCGATCACATAACATATGACAAATAAGAGTAATAATTTAATCACCTTAATTTTATTCGTCTAAACAAAATATCTAGGTGACGTTGAGACATAATTCATATATTTTTTTCTATTAATTAATTAGTATTATTATTTAAACAATGCTTCCGTGAATAAATCATGGATTTGATTTTTTGTAGATTTATATTGAATATATTTATGTTTTTTGTTCATATATAAAAAAATACAATTATCCAAAGCACATTTAAGAATTGTTGTTTTCAGGGACAATTTATTACAACATAGGAGAGACAGGTGTACAGTGGGAGAATTTTTGAAGAAAATCTAATAGAAAAATTCAATCGTATATCCTACAAAATTTCAAAGAGATGACATACATCGATAAATAAAAATTCTAAAAAGCTAATAAAAGTTAAGCTAAATTATAGTAAGTAAAATATACTTTTATTATTTTCTTCTTGGACTACGTAGAATAATATATATTATTATATATACATATGTGCCTTGGTGATGTGATTATCGTTTAAAATATAGTTTATAATACACAGAATTTAGTTTTTTTTTTAAATCAGTTAAGAAACAAACTCAGTACTTCGTATTTCATTAGGCTGTGCTTATTTGCTATAAAAAATTTAACATTTATATCATATCATAGAATATTTTTTCATATATTTGTATATCATTAACTCTTTGTATTGTAGAACACAATTGTAATAATATTAGTTAAATAAGAATATTTGTAAAATTATACAGTGGATGATTGGTTAACGAATACCTTACAAAACAAACAAGAAGTAATCCTGTGCATAAGATTTGTAGAACTGTATTAATCAATAATCAGTCAGCAAACAATTCGGATAATGAACATCGTCTTTGAATAGATTATGTTCATTTACTGATCATCCATTGTACTTAAAAATTTCAAACATATTTTTTATACAATGATTATAAATTCATTGTTGATCGTATGAAAACTTTTATGAAAGAAAATTAACAATATTTTTTGTAATTAAACAATAAATGTTTTCATGTATTACTTACCATCTTGTATTCAAATTTCTTTCATTTGTACGTACTACTATTTTTATATAATATTATTGGAAATTTCATATTTTTACTTCTTCAATAATATATTTTTATATATTGTAAAAGGATTTATTATTTTTTCTTTAACAGTAATAGATATTCGAAAAATTGCATATATAAATAATTCTCTTTCTTTTTATTACACTTTTTTAAGGTAATCATACGCAACATAAATAATTGTTATGATTTGTATATATTATGTATGAAGAATTATGATATTGCAATATTTTGTTCGAAACCTATCATAATAAAACTTGAATTATTTAGCAATATTATCCAGCACCTATAAACTGCTTATCTGATATACAATGCGTCAGATTTTATTTTTCTACAAAGCAATGCGATTTTCAAATCAATGATATTTTTAAGTTTGAAATGTCTAAGTTATTTCGAATACATAAGCTATATCATATATTATATTTATTATAGAAGTTTGTAGATTATAATAATTCAAGCATAACATATTCTAACCATAACCAACATGTAAATGTAATAATTAAAAGATAATTTCTTGATAAAATAATAGGAGAGAAAAATAATAATATTAGGCCTTTCAATGATGCAATAGCTACAAAGTTAAAAGCTAAATAAATTTGTATATAAACAATAATAAAATTATAATAGATAAATAAATAAAAATTTGTTTGCGAATAAAAAATTGAAAATATATATCAGTAACAGCATTAGTAATTATTGCCAATACGATGTATGCATAGAAATTTGTCGATTGCACGATTAAACATTTGATTTGTTAAATTCCTTTATTATTTAATAAGCGAACCAAAATAGGTTTCAATAATTTAAAAATGTAATTTTTGAAATATGTGAGATATTTAGTTCCTTATCAACAATACTTTATCAGTATATACACTGATGTTGATTAGAGGTCACTTGTCTTTTACTTATTACTAAAGTTTATGAGATATTAGTAAAATGCTTTATTGTAAAGGAAGTTCGTTATTTCTTCAATATTTCCTTTTAAACAATAAATATACATTTACATGAGAACATATTACAATTTGATCGATTATATTCAAATTAATCTCTTAGTACTCTAATCTTTCATCTCTCTTTCATTTTTATACAATAATTCATTATTTGAGACTTGAACGTTGTCATCGTAAAACTACGTAAACTATTTACGTATTTTTTTTAAACAATAATACAATTTCGTAGCAAAAAATTCTATACAAGAGTATAGAAACAAATTAATAAGAATAAGAAATAATATTATTTCTGACTGATCTTCAGAATAAAATACTTGCAATTTTTAAGCTAATATGCGCGAATAAAAAATTTGTAAGAGGCTGAATAATACTGTTCTTTTAAAAAGGATATAATTTAGTATATATATATTTATATATTTAGAGAGATATTATATATATTCTTTTCTAAGTTTTTCATTATAAACTTCTAATAATCTCAGCATTATTCCTTTCGTTACTATCGACTCATATATGGGTCGTTCATGCAAAGGCCTCATATGTATGAGCGAATTTATGTAGAATGATACTCGCGCCAAAGCATGCCGTAAAGAAAGGATTCAAATACTTCTAACTCCGATCTAATATTTGTTTAGTTATAATGATATTAATGGACAAAAGATATGCTTGATATCTTTCAATATGAAAAACTGTAATGAGAAACAATGGAGAGATATAATGTAAACGATCCGAAAAACTTACAAATTTCTATAAACTATTATAAATCTCATTTTGTCTTATCGGATCTAATAAGAAAATAAAATTGACATAAATTTGATTTGAATTCGACATAGCTCTACAAAAGTATTGTATACGAATGATCTATACAATTAAATATAATCCTTCATTCAATATATAATCCTGTTGTTCAGAAAAGTAGTAGTGGCAGTATATTCATTCAGCCTTAAAAAAATGATAGTCATAATTCTGTAAAATGAACTAATTAATAACTACCAAATTCATAAACTAGCCTAATCTATCTAAAATAATGAATAATATATTTACCTCTATTCTTCTTTTTCTTGATCATCAGATTTCTCTTCATTTTTATCACCGGGTTCTTCCATTTGTTCGACGTCTTCTTCATTCTCTTTCGTTCCACCATCGAGCTCCGTCGCTTTGGATTCATCTAATGGATCATTGTCATTTGGCAAATTTGTTCTATCTTCTGCGCTAAAATAGTAGATTTTATATAGTAATTCGGAGTTCAATGACTTTTTAAAGTAAGGATTGTTAATGTGTTATTGTACATTGATGTAATATCAAATTATTGTAATTTATAAATAAATTCAATATAATATATTACTTTTTTTTTACAAGATTATGCAATCAAATATTTCGTAGTGCATACCTTTCTGATTTTACTATAGCTGCGTCTTTGTCTGTGGATGGCTGCAACAAATAGGTGATATTTATGAGTAGACTAAATAAATTTAGTATCAAGGACGCGAGCCTAGGAAATAACTATAGATCATTGGATTTCTCAGATTTCAGCTTTTAATGTTAAACTAAAGAACAATGTTAACGAAGGATGATATATGATGCTCATTTTTTATAATACTGGATATCATATTTAATTTTAATGAAATCATTTAACTTGGAAACAATCATCTAGAAGAAAGCAGTTAAAATGCATTCCTTATAATTTCATATAACAAACCTCTCGACTGGAAGTATTCCCATTTTCTTGAATATCGTTATTTTGTGCTTTCGAATCTTGAGAAATATCTTCTGGACTAACTGGAGGTGTCATCTTAAGAAATTTCTCTAATTCGTCTAATTCGTTAGCCATGTCAAAGTCTTCATAATCCTAGAAATACATTTTCTTATTTTTAACACTATTGTTAAAGCATTGAAACATAAAATATAAAAAATTAAAAAAGAAAAGTTATAATTTACCCCACAGTATTCATCTTCGTTAAATATCTGAGGCGGTAAAGGATATTTACTATCTTTTCCGACGCTATTGCCTTGCATAAACTCTTTATCCAATTCTTTTCCTGGTTCGGTTATATCAATAGTTTCATATTCTACATTTTTACTGTCTAATATCATCAAAACTCGCTGCTGTCTTTTCTTCACCTATTAAAGATAACAACTATTAGTGATACGAATAACATAAGTTAAAGTAACAACGATAAATTTTTGTTTATTATATTTAAGTTAATAATAACGTACTATAGTTGCACAGTTATTAACACACGCTATTGTTTATAAGTAACAATAAGTAAAACACTTATAAAAAAAGAAAAAAAGAATAAATAAGAAAACTCGAATGCAATTCTAAAATACGTTTACATACAAGGTGTACCAAACACACACATGTCAATAAAAAGAAATACAATAAAACATAGTAGAAGACAACTTTCACCAACTAAACGGGATTGAAAAAATAAATCATTGACACGTTGAAAGATGAAATGTTATAACATATGTAAGAAAATATATCTGATTTAAAGGAACGTCATGTGGGTAAATATAGTAGGAGTGACAGTGACTAATGTCCGATTGTATGAGTTTTATTGTAATTTGATCCACCATAGTTCGTTAAGCATGAAATGTCATAAAGAATCGATTGGCCGGTTAGTTGGGATCACGATTGAGTATAGATCATTATTATTTGATCGTCGAATGTTAAGAACGATTATTGATTTAAGGTTATTGTTTGGTCGAAGGGTAATTTGCTTCTTTTTTGTTTTGTTTTTTCTTTTTTTAACTTACTTCCTTATTCCCGCTGATACCCGATACGTAGATTTTAACGACCATCCTTAGCCGGTGTCTACTTCTTATCGATCGACGCCTTCCAGCTTTATCTCTCAGCAACGATCCTCTTTTGACCCTACGAAATGTCAATGAATATATATCAGCGTTAAAAAATTCGTGATTCACTGCGAATTAATTGTGCGTATTCGTAATCCAACAGCGATGACGATGATGGATGATGAGTAACAGAGGACAGTTTAATCAACGTACACGGAATAAACTAGTGCTCCTTGTTTCTAATACTTCGATACTGTATCTATAGCTACGTCATTCGTGCTAGACTCGTTGTGTTGGGTGTTCTCATAGGCGATTGCATCTTATTTCTGCCGACTAACGCCAGGTGTCGCTACTAAGCCGTCATATATAGGGTGTTCACAAAATAATAAACATGAAAACTTGGCCTAAAAATAAATAAATTACAAAATCGAAATTATAAACATTTTACATTATTCCTCTATAATCTATAATATAGTAATTTATTGTATAGAAATTAATTAACATACGAATATATATGATGTCTACAAAATAATGACCATGAGAAACATACTTAAAAATACCGAAATTACAAAATTAAAATTATAAATATTCTTAATTATTTGTATAATCCATAATATGATTGATGATAAATAATACAGAACTTAATTAATACTCTCATTGATTTTAAATCATTATTTTATTACATTGTTTTATTAATATATTACTTAAAAATCTTATAACAAAATTTTGTTTTTTGAAATCATGCATCTTCCGGTATGCGCCATATTACAATCGAATCGTTTTTAGCTCTCGCCTTTCTTTCTTCCGGTTTTAACGAAGGTCTTATTTAACTGTACAAAATGGTAAGGTGTAAAATCTATTTTTTTAAATTAAATCGTGTGAAATTATTGCAAAGTGTGTTAATAATATATCATAGTACAGTTTTGTTTAATAATTTTCATATTTATTATCATTAAAGTTTACACTTTTATGTAAATTTGTATTTTAAGGTTATCTAGTAAATAGTTTAATGTTTATTCCTAAGTTGCTGTACTTTTTTTTATAAGTGTTTGTTTATTTAACAAAGATTACCCTTTTATTTATTAAAATGTATATACCATGATTGTTAACTTATCATGTTATAATAATTAGCAACATCAAATCATAAAAATTATTAAATCAATAAGGTGATAAGTATTGTATTTAAAAAAATGTTTTCTTATTTTGCCATATAAGTTTTGTTTTTTTCTGTGATTAGGCCAAGCGTACAAAGAAGGTTGGAATCACAGGGAAATATGGTACTCGTTATGGTGCCTCCCTTAGAAAAATGGTTAAAAAAATGGAAATTACTCAGCACAGCAAATACACTTGCACATTCTGTGGCAAAGTTAGTATATCATCCACATATATTTACACTTTTATTTCATTGTAATATTAATTAATTTCTATTAAAATTCTATCCCTTTACAGGATGCTATGAAACGTAGTGTCGTTGGAATTTGGTCATGCAAACGATGCAAAAGAACAGTTGCTGGTGGTGCTTGGGTGTACTCCACAACCGCAGCTGCATCGACTAGATCAGCTGTTCGAAGATTGAGGGAAGTTAAAGAACAGTAAATGTATATAATAAATATGTTAACATACATTTTGTACATCTATGTTTTTTTATTTCATCATCTCCTGATTCATGGATTTATATTGTCATAGATTTAAACTTTACGTGCATAATTGACTTACGAATTACCACCCTATACATTGAAGCTACAAATTGCATCTTTACGTTAACATTTAACAAATAACGGTAAGCTTTCAAAGTATACAATAGGTTACAAACGGTCTAGAGTCATTCGATAGTCATAATAAAATTCAATTTATTTAAAGCGCCGTCATCATAATCCAGATATATTTAATCACTTTCTATTAATGCAACTTTAAATTTGAGTTAAATAGTTTTAATGAAGTACAACGACTCTATGCAGATAAATACTATAATATTCTACGTTTGAGGCACATTGGACTCAAAAAATCAGAGTATTAACAAACCAAATTATTTTTATCTATTTACATTCAAAGTATAAATTATATATAGCAAACTATTTTTTTTTTAACAATATAAATATCAATTGATTCATATAAAAGAATATACATCATAGTTAAAATGTAAAAAATCTGTACAGTACAGATATGCATACAACAAATAATTTATTTAGTTAAAAGCTTGCGAATCAATTATATCCTTTACACGTTTTGTTTCATAGGTAAGTAGTACATGAGGATACGTATACCTTTTTTTAAGGCAGAATTATTTATAATTTTGCGATTTTTATCAAAAATTAAATCAAAGGTGTACATCTCTAACAAACAACTAATTATATATATATATATATTTTTTGAAAAAAGGTTTATGCTGATTAGAAAATTTGTAATTTTTTAAAAAACGTTTAGAAATGAGTTAATTCATCTTAAGTTTGTTTTAATGTCTGCCTTTTAATTACACTTTCGCAAAGTATATGAGGCCACATGAAGTAGATAATTGTTTCTTTTTTTTTTATCCAACTCATTAAATATAGTATAAGTACACTAGATTACTTCAAAATGGCTTGTAAATTAAATATTATAATTTACAGTTCACAAGTATAGAATAATATTAATATTTATATGTAACTTAATGGAACATGTGTAGATTGCTTTATTGTCTTTAAATTTGCATCTTCTGACTTTCAACACATTGCAGGAAAGAACAAATTCATTTTAAGACAGAATACTAGTAAATAAATAACATTTGAAAACATGAAAAAATTGGAAGTTTGTTTCACTAATTTTTTCTATGTAATGTACGTTACTATATTAAGTTTAACATTTAAAAATATATGTATATATATTAATACATATACATATGTTTTTATATAAGCTAAAAATACATTAAAAAGTACAGAAAATAAAGTGATAAAAGATTTCTATTGTGATCAATGTATCGGTGAATGCGCAACGAAACAATTGTTATTTAAGACAATGATAATTTGTACTTCATTTTCTGTGCAAACATTAGGAAGTATATAGAAGAAAATAAAACTTAGGATTGCAATATATGGAATGACAATGACATGGAAATACTATCACTTTGTCTTCTTCATTTTTGTTTCTTTTCTTTCCTTTACACATCAGCGAACATGCTTTACTGAATCTGAATAGTTTTAAATCGTTAATTTTAGTTAGACTCTCTTTTTCTTTCAAATATATAAAATCAATCTAAATCCTGTACAAAAATAAACATTGCTGTTTTAAAAGTCTAATTACATATACATATATAGGCTATAAATGATAAATTATTGTTGTACCATCACCATAATATTATTTTTTTCCTTCAGATTAAATATATAATATGTTAATAATACTAATGTTGCCAAGTATTAAAGTTTCACTATGGTACACAACATGTTCTAAACATCGTAGATGGAGGTGTTGAGAATGTAAGAAAAATTGTATTACTCACGTGTTACTAATTGTAGATATAAGAAGTACAGATATTATCTTACACAGACATAAAAATAAATTCATCGTCTCAACTACAACTGAATATTGCAATTTTTGTAGCGTGGAAATTTATAATCAAAGGGAAGGGCGCCAGAATCTGAAAGTCATCTACTTTTACTCCTAGCCAATGGTGTAATATTTTTTGTATGTTGAACTGTGACATTAGCAACGATAAACTATGCTAAAGCAGAATGTAATATATCTACGAAGAATAATTGTTTATTTTATTACAATAAAAATATGGAGTCTTTATTAATAAAATGCGGAAGACATGTGTCAATAAATTTAAATGAATATGTAAGATATATAATAACAAGATTATAACAAACAACAGCCGGTAATCTTTTATATATTTAACTAAAATCTTGTAAATGTAATCTCATCGTGCTTTAGTGTTAAAAAGATTAATAGAATCTTTGCTTTTATTGAAAACAAAAGCATCGTAACAACTTAATTACGAATGAAATGCAAGGAACTGTCAGAAGTATCGTTATAAAAAGATTCAGTGCTCTTCCCTAATTAATAATAATGGATTGTACAATAAAAGTTCTCTATAATTAGTATAACCAGTAGTGTCACCATTAATTTCACTTTCATACTAACAACATTCACACGATCATAGTTGTGACACAAATTTACCATATCCTTAGATTTGTTTTTTTTCTTATCTTCACACATATAAGATTACTATCTTTCAAACGTCTGCCATTGCACGCATCCCAAATTATCAAATATGTCTCTCTTTCTTTTATCAACAAGTATTTATTTATAACAGTGGTCTGATATGCTTTCTCTGTTACCGCTTACTAAAAGAAGAGTTCATTCTCTTGTTCTTTTTCCTTTTCTTTTTTAGTATCACTTTTGCACGTTCTCACACAATCAGAAATTTACTTCTCTCATCCTCGTACATTAATCAAGGCATACCATAAGAAATGGCAGTAACTAAACACCATGGTCTTAGTAAAATCTAATTAATATTTATCTTATTAAATAAATGAATTATTTAACTCGCGAGTCATTTGTTTCTTATTATGATTCACATCAAGTTACTTTCTTTTCCCAATGTTCATTTCATCGAGAATTTACGTCAATCTGATGAATCGACTAAACATAATACAGCGACTATGTTCTCTATTCAATCATAATACTTATCATTCTGCCGCGATTTTATCTTATGGTCAGTTCCTTGATTATAATCTATTAAATATATTAACAAATATTGTATAGAGGTCTGCACTTAAGCTCAATGTATATTAGCTGGCTTGCCATTTGAATTTGCTTTGCATAATCCATTTCTGTCCAGCATTGTGCGGATCGCATGATGCAAGAACAGGCTGTGAGGCATCTCCTGAACGCGGTTTCGACAGGCAATGGCCTGTATTTGTATGCCTGATCATCTTCGTCTAAAAAATGTTTATATTTAAGTGTAATTATTAATAAATTAATTTAATATAAAATATTATTATATCTTTTTATACCTCTTCATTGTAAACCCATGCTTGATTACCACCCATCCCATGGCAACGAACAATTTTAACTGGACCTTGCGGACTGGCTGCATCAAGGCACATATCATCCGACATTATTTGTTGTCGTTTCGTATAAGCAAACACCTAAATATTATAGTAATTCGTCAGTAAATATTATAATAAATAAGTCAGTTTTATAATTAGAATTTTAAATATACCTGATTACCACCTAGTCCATGACAATAGCTAATACCAACAACTTCGCCCGTTCTTCTACCCATGGTATCCAAACAGGTATGTGTATCAACATTTTTTACATCACCGAGATAATAATAATCTAGTGGCATCGGTGATTCAGGATAAATATTTTCTAAATACCACCTGAAGCTCTTACATTTAAGACGTTCTCTTAACTTTACCCTCTCCGACACGTTCCCAACGACTACATTTCTCGCACCTGTAAAATTTAAGCGCTTTGATTAAGAGTTATTCTATTAGATTTTATTAAATGAAAATGTGTGAACATATATATTAGTAGAAAATAAGTTATTGAAATATGTCAAGATATGTGCTAAATAAAGAAATTGCCATGTGTGATAATACATTAATTATTTGCCCATTAAAACGACCATAGTATACACCATGAGCATATCAAGATATTTGACAATGAGCAAAATAAATTAGATATTTGAAAGTGAAAAGAATTTCGTGATATGGTTCTTATTTTATTCGTGTAAAAACTCGTACACAGTCAAAATATTATTGTGCGATAGTGATAACGTGATTTTAGTGACAACGAAAATTATATTATAGTTTATTTATTTCTTTTTTTAAAGATCGTATTATATCGATCAAGTTTAAAGCAATACCCTCTCGCTGCTGAAATTGAAATAATGATTAACAATCCTGCAATTAAATATTGTCCTAAGGTGGACATGAACGGGTATCTGATAGAAGTAAGCGATATTCCAAAAAACCATAAAGCAATAGTGTTAGTTGCAAGACCATGCTAACCGCCCAAAAAAAAGATACATGCAAAATAAAGAAACCAGGAGTATACATAAAGTATAGAGATATATATTGTGTGTACAAGAATTCTCTTTCTTTTTGTTTTATTTTTTTTTCAGACATTGGTGTTAGTGCTACCTGGATTAATGTTGTAATAGAAGTACTTCCATTGGTCCAACCAGACCTCTGCGAGGCGCGCATTGTTGTGGTTCACTATCTTGCTGGTACCACCAGGGAAGGTATATGGAGTTGACTTACGGAATACATGTCCAACGTGTGAGCATGTTGCAATTTCCAATGTCCCACCACACATCCATATCTAACCAACTCAGTTGTGTTAGTGTGTTAGCAAATACAATAAAATTACATAATAAAAAGAAAATCAGAAGAAGATATATTATGCACGTTATCAAATTCTTGAGCTCCTTCTCTCCCATCTGGACTCCTAGATAATATAGCTAAAAAAATATCAAAGGCAAGCAATATTTTAATGTTAGTTGGCTGGATGGATGAGTGGTTAAGGCTACGGTTTCACACATATTAGAATATCAAATAAATCAATACATTATTCAAAATGAAAAGCATAATTATTTATAACTATTATAGTTTCTTTTCCCTATGTTCACATGATACGTTAAAAC